AGTGGTCAGGAGTATGTAATATACAGACCAGCATATAGAATGCAGTGGTCAGGAGTATGTAATATACAGACCAGCATATAGAATGCAGTGGTCAGGAGTATGTAATATACAGACCAGCATATAGAATGCAGTGGTGAGGAGTATGTCATGTACAGCCCAGCATACAGAGTGGTGTAGTCAGAGTATGTTATATACAGCCCATTGTACAGAGTGCAGTGGTCATGAGTATGTTATATACAGCACATGGTACAGAGTGCAGTGGTCAAGACTATATAATGTACGTGGAGTGCAGTGGTTAGGACTATGTCTTATACAACCCAGAGTACAGAGTGCAGTGGTAGAAAATATGCCAAATACACCTCAGTATACAGAGTGCAGTGGTCAGCAGTATGTCATATACAGACCAGCACCGGAGTAGCAGACCAGCAAGGGCCCGGAGTATGCCAGTAGGTCAGTTAAACTAACCTATTAGTACCATCCATACTGGAATGATTGGTATGCCAGTCACATAGTACACTAGGTACAGAGCAAGATGAATGTAAAAAAGATCACTGCATGTTATTTATAGAGCAGCAGAGTAGTCAAACGCTAGGGTAGGACTACAGAACACCTCCCCCTCACTTCTCATCTCCATACCATAGAAGGGAGTGGTTTTGTATTTTACAGAGATAGCTGGGAATGATGATAACTGATCACAGGCAGGAGCACAGGAAGCTATCAGCTCACTGGCAGCAACGAGTGAAGCCGAGGAGGACAAGCGTGTCCTTAAAGCCGATCTGAAATCGATCATTTGTAAAAGAAAAAATCCTTTATGTATTTGCTTGGAATTTTCGGCTCACAACCAACCGCTGGGGTGCGATGCAGTAACGCATGCAATTTATCAATGGTGTTAATGTGCAATGCGTTAGGCAGCCCATTAAAAACTGGCAAGGTGCACTGGGGTGACATTCAGAAATCACATTAATTCCCCCCCCCCCCCCCCCAGATTGCTGTAAATAAAACGCCCGTATGACACAACTCTTAGTCGGGTGAAAATTTGAAACAAACAGTGGCAGATGTCAATGGATTATACAGCACTTCCTGTCTACAGATCCCATTGATGTAGGGATGCCCTCAAAACTACATCTCCCAAGAGCCCTTTCCATCCCTGTACACAGTGTGCTGTAGTCAATGTATCAATGTACAGTATGTATGAGGAGTGGGTGTCCCAATCTGGGATCTAGTCCATATAACCATCACACTCGTAACCGCTGTTCCATAAAGATTAGGCGGGTGCAACGGATGTTGATGGATGGCCACCGTCTACATCAGGGGCGTCCCGAGGCTGGGTGTCACCTGCAGCAGTTAC